ATAAAGTCCTCACCGACCATACCAATGAACGAGCAGGCTGTCATCGTGTACTACCCAATCAGAACACACGCTACATCACACTCGCTACATATTAAGTTTGAACGCTTTTGTATCATACCATACTCTTTCATATACCGTATTGATTCTCTTCACCAATCTATCGTCAAAACGTATCCCTTCCATTTGCAATACGTATCCCTTCCCATATCCCAGGCACCCCGAATCTGAGTGGGGACGCTATATTGGACTTTGTGACGAACCTGTGCCGCATTTCATTGGAGGAGCTTAATTCGGCCAATCCGCGAATGTATTCGCTACAGAAAATAGTGGAGATCTCCTACTACAATATGGACCGTATCCGTTTGGAGTGGAGCCGAATCTGGAAAGTGCTGGGCGAACACTTCAATCAGGTACTAAGCCAGGAAGTACATGCGTAGGTGCATATGTATGTATATACATGTATGCATACACGGGTACTAAGCCAGGATGTACATGTGTAGGTACATGCGTAGGTACATATGTATGTATATACATGTATGCATACACGGGTACTAAGCCGGGATGTACATGTGTAGGTACATGCGTAGGTACATATGTATGTATATACATGTATGCATACACGGGTACTAAGCCAGGATGTACATGCGTAGGTACATGCGTATGTATACACATGTATGCATACACGTGTGTATAAATGTATGTATATACATGTATGCATACACGTGTGTATTAATATATGTATAGATGTATGTATAAATGTACATGCATGTACATGCAAGTAGTTATGTGTAAACAAATATACATGTTTGTAAATTAAGTTATCAGTGGACATGTGTGTAAATATGTGTATATGAATGTATATGTACATTTATGTTGTATGCATGTGCGTAAATTATGTATATGAATGTGTGGAGATGCGTACGTACGTACGCATTCCTCATCGAGTATACATATGTACTCTTACACAAATGAATTACATATAAGCACAAGTATACGTTTGTATAAGTAAATTTACAATTTAATCAAATTGACAAATACAATTTTACATATATATGAATATATATATATAGATCTTATATATATATACATT